GTTACCGATTATAGAAGAAATTTTAAGGAACATAAAATCAACCAAATTTATGACGACTTTAGACTTAACGAATGGTTATTTTCAAATAGGGGTCAGGCCTGAGGACGTGCCTAAGACTGCTTTTATAACCAAGTCTGGCACTTATGCATTTTTGCGTATGCCGTTTGGCCTTTCAGGCGCCCCAGCAACATTTCAGCGATGCATGGACATTGTGTTAAGACCTGTTCTTGGAAAGTCCACATTTATCTATTTAGACGATATCATTATTACTAGTGATAATCTAGACCAACATGTACAGGATTTAAGACAGGTGTTTTCTTTATTAAATGAGGCCGGTCTAAAAGTTAATGTCGAAAAGTGCAAATTTGCAGCCCCTGAATTAAAATATTTAGGTTACAAAATATCGCAAAAAAGGGATCGAGACAGATGAATCAAAAATAATCGCTGTACAAAAGTATCCGACTCCAAACACGGCAAAGAAGCTCTCTTCTTTTCTAGGACTTTGTTCATATTATAGGTCCTTTATAAAAGATTTTGCGGCTATCGCTGAGCCATTGTTAAAATTAAAAAGGAAAAAGGCAAGATTCTCGTGGACGGCCGAAGCCAATAGTGCTTTCGAAAAATTAAAACAAGCATTAACGCAAGCCCCTGTGTTGTTGAAATTTCCTGAAAAGGATGAAAATTTAGAAATTTCAGCGGATGCTTCGGATTATGCGGTAGGAGCGGTACTTTCGCAAAATCAGCAGCCCGTGGCATTTTTTAGCCGAACTTTAAATCAAACACAAAGAAACTATTCCGCGACCGAGAGAGAGGCACTTGCAGTTCTGTTAGCAGTGCAAAAGTTCCGAGTCTATTTTGGAAAGGCGCCGATAACAGTATATTCTGATCATGCGGCGGTAACTAGATTGTACTCAGGGAAAAAATTTATCCCCAAGGTTAATAAGATGGGCACTCAAGCTGCAAGAATATAATCTGGTAATCAAGCATACCCCCGGAAAGGAAAATATCGTAGCAGATGCCCTATCACGAATTAAATTAGACGACGAACAGGGTAATACCGTAAAAGTTGCAATGCTGACAGCGTGTACAATAAATTCCCGAGAAACTGTAATAACCGAACTGGGTAAGGATCCTGAGTTTGGAAGTATTTATGAGTATTTGAAGGATCCTGAAAATTTTAGCCACCAAGATATTGTGGCGATAAGAAATAGGGCGGCCCATTACGAACTAATAGATGGTCTATTATTTATACAAAAACTACGAATTCCAACAACGAATTTCGACCTGTTATCCCAGCTAGTCTTAGATTAAATATCCTGCAAGAGCTCCATGACAGCCCTTTAGCTTCTCATGCTGGTATTCGAAAAACTACTCAACGCGTACGCGAGGCAGTCTACTTTCCTGAACTGCAAAAGTTAACAAGGGCGTATGTCCAGTCCTGCCCAACATGTCAAGCCGTTAATTATATTAATTTCCGCCCGGCCGGGTTTCTAAATAGTATTAAATCCGAATTTCCAAATGAAATAATTGGCATCGATTTATTGGGCCCTTTCCCAAAAAGTCAGTTAAACAAAAAGTCGCTATCTCCTTGTTATGGTTGATCATTTTAGTAAATGGACCGAAATTGTTCCCTTAAAACGAGCCTCCGCGAAATTAGTTACCGATTCTATTTTAAATAAATATATTTTTAAAATACGGGGCGCCCCTAAAAGTTATATCGGATAATGGTCCTCAATTTGTAAGTAATATATTTGAAGACATGTGCCAAAAACTGGGCATACGTCATTTAAAAATGGTCCCGTATCGGCCGCAATCAAATATAGCGGAACGGGTCAACAGAAATATAGTGAAAATTATCCGTAGTTATGTTAAAAATTTTCATAAAAGCTGGGATAACTATGTCAATGAATTTGCTTTCGCCCTTAGGACCGCAAAACATGATACAACGGGCAAAACTCCTGCTGAGTTATTTCTAGGCAGAAAGATTATAACACCGTTAGATAAACTATTTTATGTGCAACAAAGAGCCCCAGAATTTAAAATGGGTGATATAGAAAAACTAATAAAAGAAGCAAAAAAGAATACGGAAGTAGCACAAAGAAAACAAAAATTGTATTATGACTTGAAACGACGGGGAGTAACTTATAAAGTAGGGGATGAAGTTTTACTAAAAATTAAGCATTCACTTTCTTCAGCACCAGAAGATAAAACTGCCAAATTTTTTCCACGATTTGAAGGACCATATGTTATAGAAAAAATAACTCACGCTGTTGTAGTGTTAAAGGCCAAGAAATGGTGAAACCTGTTCCGCAAACATTGATCAGATAAAAAACCATTCTATCGATCGTAATAAAATGCAAATCTTTTCAGATCTTTTGCAGGATCCGGTACGGCAGACACCGCAGGTACAAGTTCCAGAGGTGGGAAAACGACAAGTACAAGGGCAAGCCAATGAGAGACAGAAGCAAGTGAAAAGAAAATTGCCCCGCGGAAAAATTGAAGGTACAAAGAAAAAGAAGCCGTTCCACCGTCCAAAAAACAGAGTTCACGAACACCCCCAGAATGAAGAAGGGAGAAGGACGACGTATGTGGAAAAGGACCGGGAGAAATGGACGGCAACTATAACCCGGCTTTAAAACGGAAGATCTACTCATCCGACAGAACAGAACTCTCCGCAGCAAAAGTCGCCGAACTGCGGAAGGGCCATCAGCGGCGGAGGAAAAAGTACAAGAAAAAATTTGAACGGCCAACAACGAGGTCCAAGCAGGATCACGACAGAAGTTTCCCGGTTCCACCAAGACCAGCTGCCTTCAAACGGCCAAGACCACAAGCAGAGGACAGAAGGAAGAGTGTTCAAGGGTGGCCGTAGTGGTGAAAAACGGAAGCTTCCAGAGGAAAGCACTGACGGGCGAGCCCGTACAAGAAGGAGGATAAATCAAGCTACTATATGCAGTACCTTTATAGACTGGGCCCAGAAAAGGATGTCTGAATATTACAAAGATAAGTAAAATTTTATGTTACTTTACAAACTTAAGTTAATCTTTCATTCTTACTGCAAGTGGCAGATTTCAAGAAGTTTTACCTCATGCGAGGTCTACCTTTATCGCCAAAAGGGCGAGAAATGAGTTGTGACCGATTTTCTTATTATGTTTTTCAATTACTCGCGCGTAAAACTAAAGTTGATGTATAATAGCTTATAATAGCTTTGTGTAAAGACTTAAATATTGTAAAAAGTTATTGTATAAATTTTATTTAAAACATTCTAACAAGAAAGAAGTTTTAGTCTGAAAGACTTTTTGAAATGTAGTATTATTTCAATGTAGAAAGAATTGGCACTTGCTTTGAAAAGAATAGAAGTTAACAATGTACTACTAATGTATGTTTTCAAATGTGTAAAATTAACGGCATCTTGATATGTTCTTGTATACATGTGAACTGTTATTTTGAATGTTTAAGAAATACCGTGATATGGTAAAAGTGAAAGTAATGTTAAAAAATTTGTTATTCGTGTGACTGTAAAGATTAAATCATGGTGAATATGTGTTAAAGGTTGAATGATGTAGTAGTTAGGCTCTCTGACGCTACACTTTAGAGTTAGCCACTTTCAGAATAGTACCTCAGGGTTAGAGTTGAAATTAGGGTGTGTTAAGAGGTCTCGTTATGTTGAATTTTAACACGTTAGTGTTTTGATTGTAGGAGGAAGTGTTGGCACACGTAGACAGAAAACACATTCGTGTTTGGTGTTTTTTACAACACATGTCAGAGAGCACGGGGAGAGATAATTAAAATAGTCATGATGAATGAAATAAGAATGTTAAGAAAAGTATATTCTATATGTTATTTTTGCAATGTCATTCTGTAACATTTCATTAAACTAGTTTTCCTTCCAGATCTCTGGAAGGAACCAGAATTGAATAAAGCTCCTGTTTTGATGCAGTACAGATGAAAAAAAAAAAAGATTGTTGTATATTCCGGGAGCTGCTATTGTAACAAATTTCTTTCTTTTAAAATTTTCTAGTTTCTAGCTAAGTTATGATTGTAAAAGTTTGGCCTCGCGTTAGTTTCTAGAGCTAAAAGTTTTCAACAAGGTCGTTTTAGACCTCAGTTTCAAACTAATTAACTCTGGCGGGAAGTATGTAAGGATCTTAAGTTTTACTAACGTTTATTTTATTTTAAATCTTTACTATCACTTCTTATTTTCTACTTCCGGCCAGAATTATAAGCGTGAAGGAGTTTATGCAAAGTTGTCTGGCGAACGCCAAGTATTTAAGTGTGGCCTTTTTGCCAAGCAGAGAGAGAGAAGCAGTGAGTTCGAAGCAGGCCGCTTACCTTAGAAGTTACGCAGTTGCTACTTTGCCTTCCAGGCCAGAGGTTTTAATCCTCTTGATAAATTAAACGTATTGTAGTGTTCACAGTCTCTGTGCTACATACGCTTTCTGTTATTATAAGGCCAATCTTATTCTAAAGTTAAATTAGAGTTTAGTTTTATTTTGATATCTTTTAAGTTAGACCCCGAGTGGAGGGTCATTGTATTCCGAAGTACGGAAGTCATTGTATATAAAGAAAAAAATAAAGGGTTTTGTATACCCTTCGTCTGTATCCTGTCTACTTACTACAATTAGTGAACATAGCTTTAGTAAGCTCTCTGTTCTAGTCAGGTCATTGTATGTTTCCGAAGAAGGTTAGAAGAAACATTGAACCTGATAAGCTCTTTAAAAATGTTCTACACTTGAACAATGTAATGCTAAATAAATATGTAATATAAAATTGCATTAAAAACAAAATCAGAAATAATATCTATTAATTAGTTACATGATAGTACTACGTTATTTGAAATTCAGTTCTTATCTCACTGTAGGGATGAATTAAAATTTTTCCATAAAAATACATTTGGTTTATATTTATTCACAGTGGCTAACACTGTTATAAAATAGTGAAAGTATGACACTCTATAACAGAATAGAAGTACATAAGATAATTGATAATTAAATATGGTAACAAACTGTTTTTAATTTATGTATAACTTTTTTCATTATGAAATACTTTTAATATCCATCTTCAACAGAAAAATTGTTGAAGTAAGAGAAGAGGATGAACCTGAAGACTTCTGGATTAGTTTGGGAGGTAAAGGTGATTATGCTCAGACTAGAGGTTTACCATCCAGGCCATTGCTAGAACCTCGACTGTTCAAGTTATCAAATGAAAGCGGAAGAGCAATAGTTGAAGAAGTGTGCAATTTTACCCAAGAAGTAATAATTTATAATTTAAATTTTGATGTTTTCATCATTTGAGGAAGAAGTTTATATCCTCCTTTACTTGTCTTTTAAACTTAGCAGAGTTAAAGTTTTCTAGCTGAATTTGCTATATTATTGACATATATCTTATTATATGCATGTACCTCTGTGCATTATGCATACTCAGGACTTAATTTCTAAGATCAGAAGTGCCTGAGCCCCTCAGCAAACAGGAGCAAGAGTAAATAAATAAATAAAATGACTATTAAACTCATTAATAATTTTAAAATTAAAGAGTTAATTATTATCAAATTAATTGTAGCTATTTAATTAATGTTTACAAATAGTTATTTAATCAATAATTATTATATAATTAATTATAATTTAATTGGTAATTATTAGATAATTAATTATTATTTATTGAAAATTAAAGATTAAAGTAATTAAATAATTAAAATTAAATAAAATGTAAAGAGATAAATTAAATTTAATACGCGATTTTTAATATAATTTTATTGTTAAAATAAAATTTTCAAGATAAAATTTCTACTGAAATTGTTATTCAGTTACATAAAAGATGTGCTGCAGTCTTCTTATTCAGGACTCCGGTGCGTTCCGGTTAGAATTATGATTTATTACAGAAACTAAGAAGCACCGGAGCCGAGACCCGGTGGGCTCCGGCCCATTTTAAGCTCTGATCGTAGGGGGGAGGGAAGGAGTTCTTTTATCATCACAAAAAAATTAAATATACTTAAAGTATAGCTGATGAAAATTCCAGGGCAAAACAGACTGAGGGTATAAGTATGTGGAAACAAAAAATGAGGGGAATCTTGGTGAGAGAGAACGTTTTCTTTGACCGCGGCTCTCTACTGATACAATTATTTATAGCCATCAAGCAGATGTGTGTCAGGGGTAAAATGAGCCCTGAATCTAACTCCTAAGGATGAGTGTAAAGTTGCTGGTTACGCTCCCCTCCCATTAGTAGATACTGTGGGAAGACGATGTATAGGACGTGCGTCAGCAGTTTATCTCAGTATTTCACTCTTATTGTACTCGCTGTCACTTATTGGTGTATTGAGAATGCGGCAAAGCACACTAGGGCTATCTGCCTAAGGGGAGGAATGCCTTCGTGGATGATTTTCTAAGGGAAACTGGATCGTATACACGTTAATGGGGAACACCATGAAATCGCCCATGCGGCCGGCCCGTTCGCGGGATTCGAACCTCGGACCGAACTACCAGTGTTCAGCGATTTTACCGCTCGGCCGCTGGTGGGCCCGCTGTCACTTAACGCACATTTAAGAACACAAATTTTCCTTCCTGCAAGGATAACTAACTGTAAGCATCGATAACAATACACTAGATACGATGGCATGGCGAGAAATTTACGCGTTCCTAAACAAACTCCGCCAAATGTATTGCTTTTCTTAAAGGGAAAGGTTTTCGCATGTGAGTGAGGGGACTTTACTTGAACGTCTCATGTCCTCATGAGTTCGTATTTCTTGGGAAATAGAGTATTGCATGGTCTGCTTGTTGTTAAACTAAAACGTTAGGAATTCTAAATTTTTTCCCTTTAAATTGTGGTTTAATTTTATAAAGAGAAGTACCGGAGCTCATCTAATTTAGGGTTTCGGTGCGCTCCGGCTAAAATTGTAATTTATCTTAAAAATTGAGAAGCACCGGAGCTGGGCTCCGGTGGGCTCCGGCGCAATTTAAGCACTGTGCATACTGATATAAATTACTAAGAAGATGATAGCAACTAGGTATATTTTAGAAGCTGTCATGTTTGATACAAGTATACAGATGATGGTCTACCATTAAATATAAATACAGTACAAAGTATAATCATTACTGTATTCTTTATCAAGATAAATATAAGTTAAGATTAACTGTAGATTAAATACTTATTAGCAATAAACATAGATGATACTTTTTTCAAAATAATCTCAAATGGCTGGTAATATTTTAAAAATTCCTTTGTTGTTTTTGTGTATGTCAGTTGCAGATGATGTAATTAATATAATTTCAGTTAAATTCATAATGTTTAAATTATTAGCGAATGTTAGTTTGCTACTTAAACAAACAGCGTAGGAAACTGGTTTATACTGCATTTCTTCCTGTGTGATTAAGATAACACAAACGTGCTAGTAGAAGTGCTCTATAAAAATGGTAGTAATTTTTCATGCAGTAACAGCTTACAAAAAATTTCTGAAGTTTAAAATAAATGGCATATTTTTAGCTCATGGCATTACTAAGTTGAGAAAATGGACATAAGAAAATATGAAGGCTTTTCAATGAACATTTACAGTTTTATATGACTGGTTCAGTTATGTTTCAGTACAGAATTATTTTTTGAGTATCGTTACATTTTTAAATGTTTGTGTGATATGTAGTTGTTTTAAATCTGAATTTTAAAAAATCAAGAATTTTGCTTTCATTGAATATAAAGTTACTGTATTTATTCAGCTTGTTAGCTTGTTGAAATGTGAACAAATGTTCAGTGTAGAGATATTTGCTCTTTTATTAATATGTTATTTTAAAATTATGAAATATTTCTTTTTTCTCCTGAGTTTCTATACTTTACATTACTGCAAATTTAGAACTGCAAAGCAGAGAGATATTTAGTGCATTTTAAAACTCTATTAATTGTACAAAATGATTGTTTAAAAATTACTTTCTTAATATCTTACTTAATTCCACAGCAAACTATTAAATATCAGATTTCTTGAGAAAAGGGAAACAAAACTCTTCAAACCAGTCCTGAATAGCATTTTTTGAAACACCATCATCACCATAATGTAGGGATGGGCAAATACTTTTAACACAAGAAAGAGGTCTTTCTTAGTGCACCATGCAGGTTGGGTCACCACAAGGTGAGATGGTGATGATCCTTTGTAATGTCGTTATTGTATATGAGGATGCGATGGGAAGGGGAAGGGTAACATTTCTTCTCAGTAGAAATTTTTTTAAATTACACAGGGGTTTTATAGTTTTGTAGCATTTTATGCACTTAATTTAATATTTTTTTATTTTAAATAAGCCCCAAATGACGAACACAGGTTCATGACAACCCTGCAGGAGGGTCAGCCAGTGAAATATAAAATGTACACATAAATTTCAAGTTTTTGGCTCACTGGGAGAAGCTCATAGTGCACCACTTGGCGACTAGTCCATCAGATACAGAGCATGATCTTGCGTGGGTGCAAAGAAGGTCTCGCAATGTAAGGTGCTGGGTCCCGTGGTGACAACCAATGTCTGGAATGCCTGGGTGTGTCATACGGGACCCATTTTTCATCGCTGGTGAGTAAATCAAATATGGATGCATTACGGTGCCGAGTAAGCTATGACAAACAGGCAGCGACAGACTATTGCTTGTTTGCATCGGATAGTGAGTAGGGTACTCCACTTGCTCAGCTAGTATGCCTTTCTTATGAGGTGTAAATGGAGTCTGACCATTTCATCAGATACCTGGAAGTGTGCAGCAAGCTCACCACATGTTTGGCTACTGCCATTCTCTATGGCTGCTCTCAGGGCCTCATTGTCCAGCATTTGTGGCCGACCACTGTGTGGTGCAGCACTAAGGCCCATATCAAACATGCATTTGTATCATACGAACAGCTGTTTCGGACAAATTTCTGCCTGGTTTACAATTGAAAGAAAAACTCATGATTTTTTACCGTCCTTTCGAAAAAAATTGCAAGTTGTCTGTTTTCAACCAATCAGCTATCAGCTTGTTTTCCTTTTTACATGTTAATCCTAAAATGATTTGTGGTGGTTGGCTGCTGAGACAGAAACATTATTCCAAACAGTTGTTCTTCCGAAACAAACTGGTGTGTGATAGCAACCTTAGAGACATATACCGTGACATGAACTTCTAGAACCATTGCCTAGCGGTTCGTTCGTTAACGGCATCAAACCTAAAGGCCTGGCAAATTCGGCGACTTGATTCTGCTGCTGACAGGCCCACTTTAAAATCATACAGTAAACAACTCGAAACGGATGCCGTTGATCCGTCCATTTCAATCAGTCGCTGTGTGAGTTATGTTTGAAGAATCGAATCGAAGTATTACATTGAGAAGCAAGTTCCTAGCCCAAAGGGCTCTGCACTTGTACTAAATTAAATAAGTCCATTTAACAATGCAGGAAAATAAGCAAAAAAATTGGTGAAGAATGGTCATTTACTGTGAGCAATTATATGGCGTTTAGTGGAGTTGACGTAAGGCAAAATAAAAATCTGTACAAGCCGGAATCAAACCCACTATCAGCAGGTCTGCATCATAAAATGGAGTGTAATACCGCTCAGCAACTATCTACTCGTCGTGTTCTGCTAATCTGAGTATTACTTCAATAGCGCGAAAGGCTATTATCATCTTATCTGTTGGATTTTTAGCATTTTTGATGTATTCAATAATCTGGTCCATAGTTTGTGTAAAATAGATGGTTTTCTGATCTTCGAAAATTCGCAAGTGTTCTTTTAAATCTATCTGCATGGGGTTGGACGTGCCTGTTAAGACTGAGCTGTAGAAAGTTGTTCTTGATTCTGAATTTGTAGGTTTAGTTTTATTTTTGTATTGAGTTCAGGAAATTCATTTAAGTTTTTCCGGGAGGTGGTTTAGCTTCTGCTGGATTAGGTCTGTTGAATCTTTTTTGGTAGGCTTCACTATCTCGATACGAACTGACATGATTTCCTCCACAGAATAGGCAAGTTAATTTATCATCCTTTTTTAGTTGCCAGGTATTGCTGCGATGTTCTTGACTGCATTTAATGCATCTTTCAGTGTTCGGCGTGTGCAAACTGCTGACAGCGGAAACACTGTGTTGGGATTTTTTTCGGGTTTATACTGCTCGATATGGAAGTTAAAACTGTATAGATTGTTTAAATGAAAAATATTCGGTCCTGCTTCATTTTAGTAAGCTCTATAAGATAGAGAGGGAGCATAATAGTTTCTTCTGCTTGTCTTTTTCTAAATCGCCGAAATTTGATTACAGGGAACTTCCTTCTTTGTAAATCGTCG